CAATTCAAAACAAGTGATTAGCCCTAAATATAGCCACTATTGTCAAGCACCTTGATGCCCCTAGAGTGAACATGAAAAACCAAAGGAATGCTAACCTGACTCCAATTTCCATGGTGAAAATGGAAGCCACCAAGAGATTTTATAAAAAAAAATTCAATCTGGATTGCCCTTATACCAAAAACCACAGTGACATAAAAGGCGATGAATCCCTGGTGGAGAAAATCAAAACCAACAATGTCCAAATTAAGTCGATAGAATGCACCGGCTAGTTTTTCATGATAAATAGTTTGGTTATTTAAAATGACAGAAAAAAGAAATAAATACAAAACATTGAATCTATTGTAGAAATCTCATATACAAACAAAATAAACAGGCAAGCAACATATGTCTGGAAACACCAACATATAACAACTTTTGTCGATACCCCTACCACTGTGAAATCCTGCCAAATCACTCATAATCACTCTGCTACACTAAACACACAAATGACTTGCATCTCTGTACTTTCTATCTCTTCAATTTATATAAGTCAATCGTTATATAACCTCTCCATTGTCACGATTTTTATCCTTCTTGGCAGCAAACACATTGATTGGTCCTCTCTTACTCCTTCGTGGCAGCTACACAACATTTTGCATCAATGCACATTAATCCAAACAACCATTCATTGTTGCAACTTATGGCTTGAGGTAATATCACTTCAACCATAATACGAATATACATGAAATGAAATAAATGATCAGTATAACAGCCTTGTAAAATTTAGAGTACTAATATCGATTCTCTTTCTCTTCGGTGGCTTCGTCAATGAAATGAGATTGGCGTCTATCTCTACCGACACGTCATATATGATCATAGTATAGCCTTTTGTATAAACCATTTCTGCCTTACCAATTTTTGCATTGCAACTCCAAGAGCTAACTTGCTGGGGCTCTCGTCTAGGTAAACATCTTGTACCAACAACAACAAGACAACAAAAATTTATTTGGACGAGATACTATCAAAATCTTGTGCTGCACTGAAGAAGCCTAGACCGTTTCTCAGGCCTCCTCAACCCCCCAATCAATTTGACGTGGGCCATTGCTCTCTTACCATCTAAACTAAAGAGGAATCTCAAGTTAGTCTCATTTATTGCTTAACTTTATAATTTTTAGAGAGGAGATATCATCACGATTCATAATTCTAGAACAACCACCCCAAATAATACAATCTTATGGAAACAACACTAATGAAGCACCCGAATTACAATTTCGTACATATTTCCTATGATTGTATGCATGTGCGAATTAAGAAAGTTAGAAGGATTAAGGAGGGAGCTTACTTGGCATGCGATTTTGATGAACAAAAATCCCGTAAATAAATTCCATGTAGAGATGTCCAATCAGTCGGTTCTAGGCATGTGTATATTTCAATAGGCAATACTACAAACAAAAAGAGTTCGATCGGTTTGTCCTTTCCATGTCAACATATGCTCACCATGTATTTATTCCGTGTAGAGAGAAGAATATCAAACCACCTTGTATCTGCTCGAATTATGGGTATCACTCATGCTTTTTATATTGTAATTATTAGAACTCCACTTTTAAATATGGAAGCTAGTGACCTATATCACGAAACATCATATTGTAAAAACTTATCTGCAATCATGAGGTTATTTCGGTCAAAAGAAACCATGTTCTATATGTTGAAGATCAACAATATAGCTTGAGTAGTTCAATTCGGTAACTATCTCATCTCTTACATATAAAATCTGTGTAAAAGTGGTATATGATTGAAGCTATTCTCTATGTTATCACTAAGCATAATAATCTTTGTTTACTGGAAACTAACAACAAAACATTCAAATTAGGAAAATGATGATACTGAAAAGGAGTATCATAACAAAAGCAAGGTTGGGTGCATTTTCGTTTCAAATTGACACACCCTCTTACTAGCGAGTTGGAATAATTGTGACCCGCAATCCACCCACATTCTTCTGCGGGTCGGGTTGGGTGGGTGACGAATGAGTGCGGTTGGGTCATGAGTTAGCCCTCAAAAATAATTCTCCAACTAGCCATTAAGAAAGTTGACTAACATTTATAATAAGTTATAGTAAATTAGTAAGAGTGTATCAATTAAAACACTTCTCACTTTGTCTCAAGCGAATCCATGTAGTATTTGTAAAAAAAATTACTACTCTATCAACCAATTGTGTAGAGTAAACTTACGCATTTTGTGATTTTGATAAAATTAATAATTTAAAGTTGTTATCCTAATATTTAATGGATATACAATAATCTACATTCCAATATTCAATATCTAACGGATATTACACAACACAATAACCAATAATGGTAGTCAAAAAAACATTTTTTCATGTGAAAATAGAATGCGGGTTCTTCGGGTGACCCGCAATCCAACGACCACCCACCCACAAAAGTGAGGGTGGGAGATTTATCAATCCGCAATCCAACCACATCAATCACTCACTGATTGCGGGTCGAATTATTTGCGGGTGGATCGATATCAATCCGCGGATTAACCACCCACGTGCCCACCCCTAAGTAAGCTATGTATCTTTAATCAACTCAAAAGTCAATCTAGGAGATCAACCAAATGAATTGATGGTTAATAGATCACACATTACTGTCAAAGAAACTAAATAACCCACCAATCAGCTCTCGAAGCAGAACACTCAACCTTCCATATTTACCCCTCCGAAAATTGCTTTGGCGTAACAATATGGGTGGAGGATGTTAGGCGGTTGTCGAGTCTGATGGGATAGGGACACTATTTAGATATGTTTGCAATAGTTGCGTCTTTTACATCCGTGTTCGACAAACCAACATCAATAAACCTTTCCATATTTACCCCCTCTTAAAGAATGTGCCTCATATTCACTAGAAACTCCTGTGTTAATAAATATTTTTGTTTTATGGTAGTTATCAAATTTGAGTCTATGTTAAGAATTCTGCATCGCTTCTACACATTCAATATTGCGATTGGATATGCAATATTTGCACCAATGACATTAGGGTTGTGTCGCAACCGTCCCTCGGGGTCGGGTCGAGTTGGCTTTTGGAGTCGCCATTGATCGTACTTGGAGTGGATCGAACACTACGAGACTTGGTCTGCAATTAAGAGATATGGGTTCGGGTGGGAAAGTTAAGCAACACCCTCACAATGCCCTAAATCGGTAGTACTTAAGTTGATAAGTTTATACGAGTTGGGTATTTTTAATAATTATTGGTATTTATAGGGTCCCACTGGATCGCTAATATGTCGTATTAGTAAATGATTTTTATACGCCCACTGACGTACAATTTAAAGATAAATTTAATTAGTTAGTTGAACTCGAACCTTATCGGTTGCCTACATACCCGTGACACGGGATCAAAGTCCATGAAGTTCGTTAGAATTTTGATAATGTAACTTTTATCACGTTCCACTGATCTTGGTTCTCGTGTTAAAGATTTTTGTTTATAAAATTTAAGTTGATTATTATGAAGTTATGAAAGAGAACATAGGGATTTCAGTTATTAAGAAGAAATTTGATATATTAGAAAAGAAATAGGATTAACCTAATCCACATTCAATATTTCGCATTAAAGATATTAAACAATAAATGTAAACTGAATGATTAGATTTACGCATGATAGGCCATTAACCCAATTGGTTATATCGTCAGTTGTAGTCGCATTTTGATCCCGAGAACAAAGGTTCAAAACTCGCTCACTATAATTTTTGTGATTTTCGTTTTATTGCATAGACCGGGGTAATGGCAATTTCGTAACTACTCAAAAACACGGTGGCAGTGGGTGGTATATTTTTAGGAAACTCTAGGAGTAATTAAGTCATTTTAGTTGTCGGGGTATATAATCATCTTTTAGAAACCCTGAAATCGACCGAATGGCCGCCTCACTCCCTCTCTCGACCGGGAATGGATCAGGTCAGTAACTTTATGGTGAGTAACCATGAGTAACCCGTCCACATCAGCATGACATCAGCATCCTCTCTCTCATGGAAAGCCTTTAATTTTTCCCTCTTTAATTTTTGACGGACGATTTCTCACTCATTTTAAGTCGAAATTTAATTTTTTTTGCACAGTTAGATCAGATTAATTGTGCTCTTCAAAATGATATCCACTTTAATATATTTTTCGAACAAAAAAAAATTGAGCCATTTTTTATCAGCCTATACCATATGATATTGACTGGTATTGAAATAAAAGCATACCTATGTTTTGAAAAACGTACCATGGTGGTATAGACAAACCAATACTGTAGGATGGTTGAATACATGATAGTAGAAGTATATTAGTTGTAATTTACGACTTTTAACATTGTATACCACACAATACCACCCCGTACCAGGGTGGTATTGTATGGTATTGTGTGGTATTTTTTGGTCCTGTAATTTGTTCACCCAGAAATTTGTAGATCCAATAGATCATGATGAACTCGTCCCTTCTGTGCAAACATTTTCAAAAACGAATTAAAAATGAAGAAGATACCATACAATACCACCCTGTACCAGGGTGGTATTGTATGGTATTGTGTGGTATTTTTTGGTCCTGTAATTTGTTCACCCAGAAATTTGTAGATCCAGAAGATCATGATGAACTCATCCCTGCTGTGCAAACGTTTTCAAAAACGAATTAAAAACGAATAAGATACCATATGGTATGCAGTTGGTACCGAGAGGCCAGAATTTTTTTCCTAAAAAAATATTGAAAATTGATCTCATTTTGTAGAGCACGGTGAACTCGTTCCATCTGTGCAAAAAAAATTAAAATCCGAGTTAAAACGAAAAAGGTATGAGTCAATTAAGAAATCTAGTGAAAATAAAAATAGCTTTTAATTCTCCATCCTTAGATCTAGATTTTCTAAATGAAGGGTCCAGATTTGGTTATTGATGGGTGCATAACCCATGGTTATGCACCCTATCTTGAGCCCTCTCGACCCTTCCATCTCTCCTGTTCTCTCTTGTCTCTGCCTCCTCTGAAATGAGAAGAAGGAAAAGAAACTCTTCCTCTGAAATGCTAGCAAACACCACAAAAGCGAAACCCACCTTCCTCTCCTTGATTTTGGAAACGACAAGAATAAAAATGAAAAGACATACAACGGCAACGGTGACGATAGGGCATGTAGCAGCGACGGTGACGATAAGGCATACACCGCCGGCGACGAAAACGACGACGACTAGGAGGGAAATCGAAGGTTCATTTTTTTAAAATATTTTTTTCTCTTTGCATGTCGATTTGGGGCTTATTTGTTGGTTTCACTTTCGTTTTATGATTCTGATCTAGGGTTTAGTTTTGGTTTGATGCTATGGGAGTTTAAAAAAAAGGGGTCGCCGTTGAATCCGGTCCTCGCGGGCGGCAGCAAAGACAGAAGACACACCGTCACCAAATCACGAAAGAAAATGACTCCAGCTTCAACTAGACCGAGTATGGTTTCGTTCTAGGTTAGATTTTGGATTGCATGTGGGCCTTTTATTTTTGTTTAAAAACTGGATTCTGGTATTGTTACTTTTTACGTTTTGATTTGGGTTTTTCTATTGTTGGCTTCGGATCTTTTGTCGGGGAAACGGAGAGTCGCCGGTGACGAGGATATTTTTGGCTAGCGGTGACAGAAAATCGACTGTCAGAGGCAGTCTGGGTAAGTTTGTTTTTTTGAGTTGTTTTTTGTGTTTTTATTTTTGAAGGATTCTGACTATCGATCCTGACTTATTAGAGGTTTAAGAGCATACTGGTCTAGGTGAGGTCTCCTATAACTCTATTAATTTGGGAATTGAGAGATTTAAAACTAAAAGGTGGATTATACTACTATAGATCTAAATGATTTGTAGGTCTGAGTACTAGAAAATAAGGTTGTGAATGAGTTTAACCATATGGAATTTTAGGGTTTTTAATGGGTTAGATGGATGGTTTCGGATGTAGCTTGATATGCTGAAAATTGCTAAAAAGGAGAAGGGGAAATTTTTTTGTAGTAGAAAAGTAATTAACATGCTCTAAATCGCTAATTTTAGCGATAAAAATCACTGCTACTGCTTGTGATTTTGCTGAACAATGTCGTGGATTTTGAAAATCTGAAATTTATTGTGTTCAAGGTGTTTGTTATGAATTGTACTTTAGCTCCTACATATTTCCACCACTGCTTGCGATTAGATTATGGTTGAATTGTGGATTTTGAAAATCCAAAATTTATGTAGTGGGTGATTTTCGATGGATCTGGATCCAGGTTGATCCATGGACTTCTAAAAAGTGGTTTTTGCTTGTATCCAAAATATGCTATTAGTTGTACTTTAATTTGCTATCTATCCCTACAAATAGGGATATCTAAACACGACAGAAATTTAAAATAAAATATCTAAGTTCATGGATAGTGAAGTTAATCAGTCTATAGATTGGCACAATGGTAATAGCGCACACAAAGTTAATGATACAAGGGAAAAAAAAACTTCAATGAAAGATCTTAATGAAACTTATATGAGCAGATCTTGGTAAATAGAGTGCTTTAATGTAAATGAGCTTGTAAAGTAAAGTGCCTGAATGAATAGGCAAGTAGATGGAACATTATAACATCATGATGATAGTATGAACTTGGCAAAACTGAATAATATGTTATTAAGAAAATGGAAGCCGCGTATGAGCACCAACCTGGTTGAAGTTTCTGGACCAGGCTGGTTTCTGTTTGATGGCGATGCTCCCTAGCTCACTACCTCTTTGCACCCTTCTATCTTGCTGATCTCATGTACTTAACTTAGTAACAAAGAAAAGTGGAAAAGAAGAAAATTATTTCTGATTATATGTTTCTGTAAGCGTTCTTCTCCCCTTTCTCCCCTAAAACAAAGAGCCAAAGAGCTCCTTTATAGGGAAAAGGACGTGCCACGTGTTAATGGCTCATTCGTCGGTTTTGAGGCCAATTGTGAGACCTACACCACACTTGGTCGGTCCTGACTGGTCAGGGTCAGTTCTGGATAAGATTGCCACGTGAGTTCGGGCCGAGTTGGGAGAGTTGGTCCCGGATTTGTAAGCCGAGCTGGTCGTCGTCTGAGCTCAAAATGGGCTTTGTCTAGTCTTGCCCTTGGTCCGAACTGGGCTATGATATTATGATTTTAACTTGTGGACTTTGAATTCGAGTTTGGGTTTGATCTGACTGATTTTGTCTTTGTTTTTGCAGATCAATGGTGATGTGATCTCCAGAGCGATCCAAAACCCCTCATTGGAGTCACCAGCATTGGAGTCCAAGAAGAAGGGTCCAACTCAGCAGAAGGAAGAAAGGAATTACTTGAGGACTAAGTCATTGCTTTTGGCCAGATTCTTGGAAGATTCTTACTTCATTTCCTTTCCCTTTTAGGCGGATCCTTGCTTTATTTCCTTTCCCTTTTGGGTAGATTATTAATTTATTTTCTTTCCCTTTTGGTATTCCTTTCCCTTTATTTCCTTTCTCTTTTGGTTAGATACATTGTTTTGTAACCTCTATAAATAGAGGAGGAATTGCTTATGAGTGGGGCAGACTTTGATGACTATTGATATTTCCTTGTTCTTTGAGCTTTAGGCTTGAGAATTTTCTGCTTTGTATCAATCAAGTTTTCCCCTTGATTGTGGTCAAGCTTCTACCCTATATTGATAGAGCCTTCTCCCAATTTCGTGTTGAGATTGCACTTTCAATTCCATACTATCGCCAAACAAACAAAAACCCCTAAAAATCTCTTTTCCGGTTTGTTCTTGAAGCTGCGTTACTCTGATAACTACGGGTACCGGGTCCGTGCTCGTATCAAGTGGTATCAGAGCCCGGTTCAACGCAGTGGCAAGATCGAAAGCGAGAGGACCTGTTGCTTGTCGAACGAGGTCCAAATATCCGATTGCAGAACGCAGAGAAGAGGAAGAATCACTCTCTAAAGAAGAAACCCTAATAGAAGAACCAGTCATGGGAGAGCAGAGTCAGAATCTTGCAGAAGCTATGAAGTTGCTTGCCGCGCAGATGGCACAGATGGGAGCGTTGCTTCAGGCCCAACAGGACGCTACCAAAGGTCAGCTGGTTGAGACGAATCAGCGACTGGACACCCTAATCACTAGGTTGGAGATGCAACCAATGGGTAATCCACTACCACCAGAGAATCCAGCAGTTGTCGTAGCTCAGACTGGAGCTTCGAACCAAGAGGGTCCAAGAGCAAATCGAGTGTATCAAGCTTTTCCTGAGACCCCAGATTGGCAGGTGCAGAGGCGCCAATACATGGAGCAACGTCGTCAGGTAATTCCACAGAACAGACCTCCATTTTATGACTATGATAATGATGATTATGAGTATGGAAGAAGACCACCGGAAGTAGGAGGTTATGGCGTTGAACCGATTCGAGGGATTAAGCTCTCAATCCCATCGTTTCAAGGCACTAATAGTGCATCAGCTTACCTCGACTGGGAGAGGAAGATGATTATGTTTTTCCAGTGCAATCCTTACCCAGAACATCAGAAAGTTATTATAGCCACATATGAGTTTACAGATTATGCGGCTGCTTGGTGGGAAAAGATTCAACAACGACGAAGAAGGAATCTGCAACCTGAAGTTTCTACTTGGGCAGAACTCCGAGGTTTGATGCGTGATCGGTTTGTTCCTCCTTTCTATCAGAGAGATCTCCATGATTCCTTGCAGGGAATTCGACAAGGAACGCGCTCTGTTGACGAGTACTTCAAGGAGCTGGAACTGCTCATGATGAGAGCAGATGTGAGGGAGGACAAGGAAGCAATGATTGCTCGTTTTCTACATGGGCTTAACAGAGAAATCAAGAATGAAGTGGAGCTTCGTCAGTTTGTGGAATTGGAGGAGGCGGTGCATTTAGCCATGAAGGTAGAGAGGCAGTTGAAGATGAACTCGGGAAGAAGGTACCCACCTTCACCCAAACCTATTGCAGAGAACATTCCTAAGGCTAACAGAAATCACCCTAATCAAGAAGGAGACAAGCCAGCTGCCAGGAACACATCCCCAGTCATTCAAGCCAAGAATGAAGGGTCAACGGGAAGCATCCAATGCTTCAAGTGTTTTGGTCGAGGTCACAAGGCTAATCAATGCCCCAACAAGAAGGCTCTTGTCTTGAGAGATGGAGAGTACTTTTCTGAAGAGGAGTGTGAAGAGAAGCCGATGGGGGAGGGACTCGACCGCTATTATGATGATGACGATGTGGATGAGCACATCGAGGCTGAAAGGTCTCCAGCAGGTAAACTTCTGGGAGTGAATCGCAGAGCCTTATCTATTGAAGCTTACACGGAGACGGAGCAGAGGGATAATCTCTTCCACTCTCGTTGCTTAGTCGATGGGAAAGTGTTGTCCGTGGTCATCGATGGTGGTAGCTGCACCAATGTGATTAGTCTGGACGCAGTCAAGAAGCTGGGATTGAGCACCATAAAGCATCCTCAACCTTACACCCTGCATTGGTTGAACGACTATGGGAATATCAAAGTCAATAAGAAGGCTAAGGTTTGCTTTCATATCGGTGATTATACAGGTGAAATTTGGTGTGATGTTGCTCCAATGCAGGCTGCTCATCTCTTATTGGGTCGTCCATGGCAATTTGACCGGGAGGTTATTCATGATGGAAGACACAATAGCTACCGTTTCAAGAAAGGAGATCGGAAGTTTCTGTTGAATCCATTGTCACCAGCTGAGGTCCGAGAAGATCAACAACAATTGGAAATTAGTTGGGCCATGGAGAAAGGGAGTGCAAGTGGCTCGAAGTCTGAGGACAGAAGTGGAAATCATCTCATTGCTCGAAGGAACATGTTGACTGCACTAAGGAGAATTTCATTTAGAAATTCAGTTGATTTTGTCTCTTGCAGTAAAGCACAAGCTTTGAGGGCAAAGCTTCTTCAACGAGGAGGGACTGATGTGATCCTCCAGAGCGATCCAAAACCCCTCATTGGAGTCACCAGCATTGGAGTCCAAGAAGAAGGGTCCAACTCAGCAGAAGGAAGAAAGGAATTACTTGAGGACTAAGTCATTGCTTTTGGCCAGATTCTTGGAAGATTCTTACTTCATTTCCTTTCCCTTTTAGGCGGATCCTTGCTTTATTTCCTTTCCCTTTTGGGTAGATTATTAATTTATTTTCTTTCCCTTTTGGTATTCCTTTCCCTTTATTTCCTTTCTCTTTTGGTTAGATACATTGTTTTGTAACCTCTATAAATAGAGGAGGAATTGCTTATGAGTGGGGCAGACTTTGATGACTATTGATATTTCCTTGTTCTTTGAGCTTTAGGCTTGAGAATTTTCTGCTTTGTATCAATCAAGTTTTCCCCTTGATTGTGGTCAAGCTTCTACCCTATATTGATAGAGCCTTCTCCCAATTTCGTGTTGAGATTGAACTTTCAATTCCATACTATCCCCAAACAAACAAAAACCCCTAAAAATCTCTTTTCCGGTTTGTTCTTGGAGCTGCGTTACTTTGATAACTACGGGTACCGGGTCCGTGCTCTGATACCACTTGATACGAGCACGGACCCGGTACCCGTAGTTATCAAAGTAACGCAGCTCCAAGAACAAACCGGAAAAGAGATTTTTAGGGGTTTTTGTTTGTTTGGGGATAGTATGGAATTGAAAGTGCAATCTCAACACGAAATTGGGAGAAGGCTC